TTTGTTTGTGACATTCTCTGTTCCCTTTCACACTCAACTGAACTATGTGTTATATCTTGTAAACATAATCAAACATTTCACTTAGGTGTGTGGGTTAACAAAAATCCATAATGTATGAAACATTCAGTTTTACATTAAGGTTTTTTTTAACAATTGCATTCATGCTAAGACTACAGTAAACAACACTTTTTACTAAATTAAATAAATTGTTCATTAAACAAGACACATTGTTTAAAATGTGTGCAATATGACCACATTAAAAACAACACTGAAACGTTTCACTTAAATACTGTATGAGATTGTGCATATTCAATGGATTTCTCCTGGTGCTTTTTTTCATCAGTCTTTTCATATTCTTGTTCTCTACTCAGGTGTCTGCTGTTCCTTTAGTGATTTCTGCTGTACACACATGGCATCATACACTTGAGCAAAGTGTGATACCACCGTTTCTTCTTCTCCTAAAATAAAGATTAACATTGACAAAACTCGGAAGCACTCATCTTGAAAAGGCATATCATGACAAAGCTGATTCAATCAAATCAAAACAACATAGAATTTCTCTGTGGCTCTCAGGAGTGGCTGTTCATTCATTTTTTTTAACACACATGCTTCTGCTTCGTCCAACTTTCGTCCTTCATTCAAAACACAACGAAGCGTGCCGGGCACGAGACAAAATAACCGCTCACGCTGAACCCCAGTCAGCCAGGGATGACTCAAGTACAAATGAAGAAGAGCTGGTATCTTAAAAAGATGCAGTGTCAATCGTTTGGCTTCAGCAAACAGGATACTGAACAAAGAGAAATCATGTGTAAACTCTGTCTGAAAACTGTTTCTGCACCCAAATGTAACATGAGCAACTCGTTTCATCACTTGAAACAACCATGTCGTGGAATACGAAGAGTGCATGGCCAAAAAAAGAGAGACTGACAAGCACGCTCATGGCCGAAGTGATTTCCCCCGTAGTATAGGAGTAGAGAAATCTGCAGTTTCTTAACATGGCTATTTAATTATGATCAACATAACCTACAAAATGAAGAACTGAGAAAGTTGTGCTCTGATATTTCTTTCTGTATTAGTGGAAGATCTTTTCAAGTGACTCTTTTACAACACTTTAATATGTGCCCAACTCCATCATGTTTTGTTTGCTTTTCTTTGACAGACAAACAAAACAACGCAAGAATAACCATACTCTCTGTTCTTTACTCATTTCTACCTACCTGGTTCACCACTTTGTCTCCTTCAGTCAAGACAGGGTCCTGGGGCTGACTCTGAGCAATCTGAGAAGAGCTCTCTGTAATCTTCTCACCTATATTGGCTACATTGTGCTCTGTTTGAAATCCAGGGATCACCTCTGGTAAGTTCCTCGGTCCTTTTTGGGACTTGAATGGGTAGAGGAAATATTGTGACTACATTTCATTGTCATGCACTGATATGTTCTGGTTTGTGTTTGACTACTGTAGGCGTTCAAGTACTTTCTTTTTATTATAGATTGGCAGTGTTTGAGATGGTAGGAACTTGTCATATT